TGTAGCCAAGACTAAATAGGACGGCCTCACCTGTTACTGGCAACTCGTTTTTCGCAAGTGTGATCAGAGTGCATGTTACAGCATCACAGAACCCAGGGCACTTTCTGGGTTCCATTCCTGATCAGTTTTGGGGCCTGTGGCTCCACTCACACTCATCTTGACTTGTTCACCCCACCCCCCATTCCCACCCCCCATTAAGTACATACACACAGAAGGTAGCCTTTTCGCAGTAGTGAATCACCTGGTAAAATTTCCACAAGTGGCAAAATCCTATCAGAAATCACTGATTTGAGACCTTTTGCTGTTTAATTTATCAGCAATCTGCCCATTCTCTATTCTATCTTTACAGACTTTTCCTGCAAATAAGGCAAAGAAAGCTTTGATAAAACTTCAGCCAATCAATGTTTGCTTGAGTATTTAAAGCAAATAAATATTTTGAAACTGAGTAATAGTAAAGTTGCATAAGATACTTTTTACTAGTCTGGTTTTTTATGCATATTATATACATATTCCATACATATTCCATAGTGTATATAATTGAGAGAGATCCATAAAAATTCAGTACATTCCCTATTCAGAGGTCAAGGTAAACTTAATAAATTTAGTAATTTTTTTAGTACATCTTGAGTAACATTTTAAAATTTAGTCTTCTTGAAGCATAATTATTATCACACCCTTTCAGGTTCAAAAAACCTTGATTGAGCAAATGATTCCTGTTTCTAGACAATATCCAGTTCCCTCAGCCTAATGGAGAAGAAGGCAGTCAGGAGGTAAGGGCTGTAAACACCAGGGTACAGAGGAATGGGGAGTGATGAGTCTTGTGGGTGCTTTTTTTTTTTTTATCCTCACCCGAGGATATTTTGCACTTATCTTCAGATAGAGCAGAAGGGAGAGAGGGGGGAAGAGAGAGAGAGAGAAACATCAATTTGAGAGAGACACATCAAGTGGTTGCCACCACACGACCCCAGCCGGGGCCAGGGACAAACTGAAACAGATACGTGCCCTTAGCAGGAACTGAACCTGGGACTCTCTGGTTCACAGACCGACGCTCTAACTGCTGAGTCAAACTGGCCAGGACTATTTTTTTTTAATTTATCTTTATTGTTGAATGTATTATAGATGTCCCCCCTTTGTCCTCCCTCCTCTCCAATCCCGCCCTCCTCCTGCCTTCCCCACACTATTGTCAGTGTCCATTGATTAAGCATATATGCATAGACATTCTTTGGTTTACCTCTTCCCACCCTCCCTCCCCCCTTCCCCATCCCCTTCCCTTTGAGGTTTGTCAGTCTAATAACCAATTTGCACTTTTTAATCCCATTACCTTTTTCACCAATCCCCCCCAACTCCCTCCCATCTGGCAAGCAACAAAAAGTTCTCTGTATCTATGAGTCTCTTTCTGTTCTGCTTGCTCATTTTGTTTGTAGATTTAGTTGTTGATAGATATGCATTTATTGCCATTTTATTGTTCGTATTTTTGTTCTTCTCCTTCAAGAAGACCCATCAACGTTTCATATAATTCTGGTTTGGTGGTGATGAACTCCTTTAGCTTTTTCTTATCTGGGAAACTCTTTATATATCCATCGATCTAAATAATAGCTTTGCAAGATAGAGTAATCTTAGTTGTAGGCCCTTGCTTTTCATCACTTTGAATATCTCTTGCCACTTCGTTCTGGCCTGCAAAGTTTCTTTTGAGAAATCAGCTGACAGTCTTATGGGAGCTCCTTTGTAGGTAACGAACTATTTTTCTCTTGCTGCTTTTCAGATTCTCTTTTTGTCTTTAACCTTTGGCATTTTGATGATGATGTGTCTTGGTGTAGACCTCTTTGGGTTCATCTTGTTTGGGACTCTCTGTGCTTCCTGGACTTGTATGTCTGTTTCCTTCACCAAGTTAGGGAAGTTTTCTGTCATTATTTTTTCAAATAGGTTTTCAGTGTCTTGCTCTCTCTCTTCTCCTTCTGGCACCCCATGATGCAAATGTTGGTATGCTTAAAGTTGTCCCAGAGGCGCCTTAAACTGTCTTCATTTTTTTTGGATTCTTTTTTCTTTTTGCTGTTCTGATTGGGTGTTTTTTGCTTTTTTATATTCCAGTTCGATGGTTTGCTTCTTGGCTTTAACCTACTCCACTATTGATTCCCTGTAAATTATTCTTTATTTTAGTTAGTGCCTCCTTCATTTCTGACTGGTCCTTTTTTATATTGTTGATGTTCTCACTAAGTTCCTTGGAGTTTTCCTTAAGTTCTTTGAGCATCCTTATAACCAGTGTTTTGAACTCTGCATCTGATTGATTGCTTGTCTCCATTTTGTTTAGTTCTTTTCCTGGGATTTTGTTCTTTTCTTTCATTTGGGACATGTTTCTTTGTCTCCTCATTTTGGCTGCTCCCCTGTGTTTGTTTCTATGTATTAGGTAGAGTTGCTATGTCTCCTAGGTTTTGTAGGGTGGCCTGTTGTTGTAGGTTTTCTGTAAGGTCCAGTGGCACAGCCTCTCTTATCACACCAGCTGGGCCCTCGAGGTGCACCCCTCGTGTGGACTGTACACCCTTTTGTTGTAATTGAGTCTTGATTGCTGTTGGCACATCAATATGAGGGATTTACTCAGGTTGATCAGCTGCAAGGACTGGCTGTGCGCACTGACCACTGGCCCCTGACTTCATTGGAGGAACAGCTGTACAGGACCCACCACACAGAGCAAGACTTACTTTAGCAGGGCTCTGGTACCCACTGAGTCCTCTCATTGTGGAGGTGGTTGGGTGGTGGTGTTTCAGTGTGGTCTGAAGCTGTCCACTGGGTGTGCTGGCTCTGGGGCAGGTCAGCCTCTGCCTGTGTTCTACCTGGGACCACCCGGCATAAGTTACAAAGTGATCTGCAGATGGCTGCTTCCTGTGCTGGACTTGGAGGTGCCCAGGAAAAGTCAAGTTGTGAACCAAGGCTGGCTGCTTCTAGGGCCAGGCCTGGGGCCACTTAACGAGAGGTATGGGGCTCTCTGAGACCAGATGCTGCTTGTTTGAGAGATTTTAGGAAAATCTGAAGCAGGATCCAAGACAGGCCAATCCTATGGTAAAGCCACTGGAAACAGCTTGGGTGGGCCTGATGGTTGGGTGGGGCAGGGCCTCAGGGAATCACCAGGGCGGGGCTACCAGTGTGAGCCAGGTTGCTGGAGTCCCAGATATGGAGACTGTCTGCCGCCCCAGGGAAGGACTTACCAAAAGAACAATGGCCTCCCACAGCAAATCTGTCCAGGAGAAATCTGCCCCTCTAGCTCTCGCCCCAATGCCAAACAATTCAGTTCTTCCCCATATGTCTCTGGTACCTTTCAAGCTGCCTCCCCAACGCTGGAGCCCAGAAGGAGCAAGTCCTAATAAGTTTGTGTGCGGGCCCTTTAAGGGGAACTGCCTGGCACTCCAGAAGACTCAGCCTCCCTTAGCCTCAGTTCCCGCTGGTTTTATAACCAGAAGTGATGGGGACTTATCTTCCTGGCACTGGAATCCTGAGCTGGGCACCTGGTGTGGGAGGGGAACCCCTCACTCCTCAGGGAGGACCTTCACAGATGAGGTGTCCCTCCTGATTTTTATCTGCCACACCTGGCCCTCCTACCAGCCTCTATGTAGCTTCTTCTTTAATTTTGTAATTGTAGGACTTCCATTCAGCTCGATTTCAGGAGGCTCTGAATGATGGCTGTTCTGTAGTTTAGTTGTAATTTTGATGTGGTTGTGGGAGGAGGCGATACCACATTTACGCCACCAGCTTGACTGAAAGTCATGAGGGTGATATTTTAAACAGGTCAAGGGAACTCTCTAATGTCACCTGTGAGCAGAGACCCAAAGGAAGTGAAGGTGAGATCCATGTTGATAACTGGGAGAACATTTCAGGTACTTGCAAAGGCTCTGAGATCTAAGTTGGTCCTTGTGAGCAGGGCAAACAAGAGGGAAAGTGGTACAAGGTAAAGGATAAACCATATAGTACCTTCTAGGCCATGGTAGAGACCTTGTGTTTTTCTCTGAGTGACATGGGAACTGTTGGAGGGTTTTGAGCAAGGGGATGATGTGACTTCTGTTTTGATGGAATAACTCTGGCTGCTGAGATGAAAATAGACTGATGATCAGTGGTAGGGTCAGGTGGGCTAGTTACGGGGATATTGCAGTCACACAGGGAAGAAAGAGATGATCAGAAAGGTAGAGGTACAAGCGCTAACTTGTTTTTAAGGTAGAGCTGAAAGAACTTACTAATGGAGGGAAGTCAAGGGTGCTGCCAGGGCTTTGGACCTGATAAACTGGAAGAATGGAATTCTCTTAATGGATGGAGAAGCTGGTTTCAAGGCAGAGGGGAGGAGGCACAGAAATTCAGGGGCTTGGTTTTTGACACGATTACTCTCTACTAGTGTTGCAATCATCCTTTGAAAATAGGTTAAATAAAGTAACACATGTAAAGAAAAATTTTCTGATCCTGGAGAGCCCTATACTTTATAACCAGAGAACTGCCTGGTATTATTGCCCTTCGCTCCTTTCCTAGAACACGTTGTCCTTAGTTTCTTTAATAATCTTTGTTATTGAACTTTCTGTAGAAGCCTTTTCAAAATCTAGTAAATTATATCTCTTAATTCCCTTTTGGTGACCTACTTGGTTATGTTCTTGGAAATTTTTTTTGCTGCCTAACACATGAACTTTGTAAGAACTAAGGTCAGAGGTTTTAGATTCCAATCATGTTTCCACATGGTTGTTTTATATGTAAACTGGGGACAGCAGGGTAGATGGCCTCAGGGACCTGTGAACACACCACTACTACAAGATTGGCCACTTCCACTGAAACTGTTGCTTTTTGGATGTGTCCCTCCCGTGAACAGTGTGTGTGCCTTGAGGGCAGGGGTTGTAACTGTGTCTTTTTTTTTTTTCTTTCCTTAAGCTAGCACAGTACCAGATACAAAAGTGAACAGTAAATATTGAATAGTTTCTGAATAAATTTTAAGCAACTAAGTATGTCTTTTCTCTTTTGTCTCATCTGTGTAGCACCTGACAGCTACAAAGTGCACGAGAAGAAAACTGCTGTCTCCAACCGGCCCCACTCTGCTATTTCAGGACAAAATAGCAACCACTCAGGAAATAAGCCAGGTATGATGCATTGCATTTGCTGTGGAAAAGGACAGTTATCCCCTAAACCTTGAAGGCATGCTAGAATTTAGGAGAGCGTGCTTCCAGTTCTGCCACCAAAACACACGCTCATACTGAGTTAGAGAATCTCTCAAAGCCTTCATTTTCTCTTTTTAAAATGGAGATTCAAACACATCCCCTGATTACCTCTCAGAATCATTTTGACAGTCAACGAGATGGTGTGTGTGGATGCATTGTCTACTGTCAAGCCATGTGTAAGAGGTAATTATTTTACTATCCTGTTTGCAATGATAGATATGACACAGTTTTTAGTACCAGTATGTCCAGCATTATTGCATATCACTTTTGTGACTTTTTTCAAAAATCATCTAAGAAAAGCTTTACATATAACAAAGCTGGTATAGAATTATGTTTTTGTTCACCATTCCCTGCAGTGATTGTACACCTACACAGTATTTTATGATTCATGGTCTGTTCCATTCAGTGATACAAAGAAGCAAACAGTCTGTAAACATAATACAAACAGTTTGATAGACAATGTGGCTGCTTCCAGGTATCCAATAACCATTGTGTTGTCCTTAGGAGAGACTAGTGTACAGTATAATGATGAGAGATAACCAAAGGAAGGTAAAGGCAAATTGGAAGGGTCTTGGAAGTCTACTTCATGCTGCATCCAAGGCCAATGTCACTCAAGAACAGGGAATCAGCCCGGCCAGTGTGGCTCAGTGGTTGAGCATCAACCCATGCATTAAGAGGTCGCCAGTTCCATTCCCGGTCAGGGCACATGCTCGAGTTGTGGGCCAAATCCCCAGTGCAGGGCATGCAGGAGGCGGCCAATTGATGTTCTCTCTCATCAGTGTTTCTGTCTCTCTCTCCCTCTCCCTTCCTCTCTCTCTAAAAATCAATAAAGAAAAAAATATTTTAAAACAAAAAACAAAACAGGGAATCAGTGAAAACAAAGATAGAAATAATTGCATCTAGCCTCATAAGATACATTCCCCATTATACCTACATTTGTGGAGCTTTTTCCCGTATGGAAAGGTCTTATGTAAGATGCTTTAAATAAGACCTAAATTGGGCTGGTCATTGAGAAGATAGAAGAATAAGTAGTACTGTTGCAAATATTGCATGAGCAGCCTTCATCGGAGTTTTAATTAGCAGGCTGAGATTTTCCCATTTAGTCGTTTTGCCTTTTCATTCATTCGTTTATCCATCCATCTGTCCACCCACCATCTAATCATATTTATTGAGTAATTGTTCTATGCCTGTCACTGTGAGAGGTAGTGTATGAGCAAGACAATGGGACCTCTATCCTCACAGGGCTTATTCTGGAGGGCTTTTGTTCCTTAGACTCAAGTGGGCATCCTTGTGGAAGTAGTGCTTTAGCATGAAAACCCCATTTGTTTACCATGAGAATTGAACATAGCTAAATGGTTTATACTGTTTTGCCCTGTTCTCCCTATCAACAATCACTTCTAATGATTTTTTTCTACCATTGAATCAATTCTAATCAATTGTTATACCATTCTGAAATTTACAGTGAAAATGTCTACTGTTCTTGACTGTGCAATTTATACTTCCATATCCTGATGACTCATTTATTTATCTGGTATCAGCACTGTGTAGGTACTAGGGGGTATGTTATTAAAAGGCATAATTCCTACCCTCTAGTTGGCATTATGGCGGAGTAAACTAATATATGCATAGACACTTCTAACACAGACCTTCCCGTGTGGTAAGGCACATCTGCACAGAGCGCAGAGAGGGCCCAGAGTTCAAAAACTCTCCACCTCAGTTGTCCATCTCTATTTAGAGCCATTTGATTTAAGTTGCTAAAGTCCGGTTAAATGAGGAGACATTTCATTTCAGGTTAATTGTGTTTTGAGGCATTCTTGTGTCTGCTTTCTTGTTTATAGAGATAAGCAAAGGTACATAAAACGCTATCATTTTTAAAACCATCATGTTATTTTCCTGCGTATCTCCAAAGGATAATATAAGAGGTTCCATATTGGAGGACTTGGCCTGCATCAAACCTTTTGATTTCATCAGATATGAGTCATGGGAATGTCTGTCTACAGCCGGTTGTTAATTTTTATTCTCTAGAACTTGAAAAGAAAAAAGTACTTGCTAAATTTGGGGATATTTGGAGCATTGCCCTAACCAGACCTGGACATCCTGACCAAATGATTTCTCAGGGCACCTTTTAACCCAGTAAATTTTAGTCAGTTTCCTTCTCTCCTTTACCTGGTGATAATTTAACCCCCTCAGAAAACCCTAGAACATCTCTTTGATTTAGAAAGCATCTGTTCACATTCAGGTTGCTCATCTTTCGTCTTTGAAGCTTGTATGGCAGGCCTCGTGGTGTTTCATGAGCTTGAGCACACGTTGTCGGTTATCCAGAAGGGCCAGTGCTGTCCGCTGTGAATGCTTGAACCCAGACCGAGAGACAGTTTGTCAAGTCACAGAACTGCCCACATCTGTGGAGGTGGGAGATGGTTCTTTAGAATTCCATCCGCTGCTTCCAAATGGTTAAGAGTTTGACCTAATTAGAGGAGAAAATTGCATTTCCTTCAAGAACTAGATGTACCTGAGAAAAGCAGAAATTCAAGTTCATTAAAACTCCCTCTTAATTCCTATCCCTCTACGATTCTCCACCACAGGTCTTTCGAAGAGCCACTAAGACTTCATTCTACCTGACTGTTTACAAACAGTTTCCCCTCCCAGAGGAATGCTGACTGGAATCTTCCAGCCCCTCTCTCACTGCCCCATCGTGCCCCCTGGTGACTGGAGGTGCCATGAGGGCAAAGAGCACAGGGCTGAGTTACAGAGCCGGCTTTAGGCCCTGCTTGGACCTTCCTTAGTCAGATATATCTCCTCAGTTTTCTCATTTGGAAAATAGGTAGACTAACTCTTCACTGAATGAATAAATGCTTGGCTAATTCATAGGATTACTGTGAAGAGTTAAATAATTTATGTAAAAGTGCTTGGTAAAATGCAAAGCCCTAACAGAAGTAATCTGTCATATAAATAGCAGTTGTTCAGATAGAAGTCTTGTAGATGTGAGTTGGCTTGCTTGATCTTCAAGCATCATTCTTTAGTTCTAGTTTGTTTGGGACAGTCCAGGTTTATACATGTCATTGAAGACAGGCTGTCACTTGCACTCCCGTTCATCCTTGAAAGTGCCACAGTTTGGGTGGCACCCTACTTTTTAATCATTAAAGGTCGGAGGTTGAATGCAGAGTACAGCTGCAAGTTATTTGTACCAAAATTCTATTTCTCTTAAAACTTTTCCTTCTGAGAATCAGTAACTTAGTTTTATTCTAACAGTGTTAGGTCTATTGGGAAACAATGCGGGATGTTCATAATGTTAAATTATTTTCACGTGTTCCGTGAATGAATGAATTTACTGAGACGTATGTGCTAGGCACTCTACTAACGCTGGTACAGCATTATTTTATTTAATATTTACAATGATGTGAGATAGGTTCTACTGTGTCCTCATTTTATATGTAATAAGTGAAAACCCAGGAAACCCAAGTCATAGCTTGAGACTTAGAGAAGTGGTAAGTAACTCAGCGAGTGAGGGACAGAACAGGAACTGAACTCGTGCCCCTCTGAGTCCTCACATCCAAGTGGTGAACATCTATTCAGAATAACTGCACCTGAGATTCCTTTTGTTGTTAAGGAACAGACATTTAAAGCATAAAAGTAGTAGAATTTCAGTAGCTTAGGAACACAAAACATCATATATATTTTTTGATGAAAATAGCCAAAGGCTACAATTGTGTTATGTTATTACATAATTTTTTTGCCATGTGTCTTTTCATTTAATGTTTATTGTTTCCCAGTTTTATTGAGATACAATTAATATGTAGCACTGTGTAAGTGTAAGGTGTACAATGTAATGACTTGACTTGCATATATTAGGAAATGATGACCATAATATGTTTAGTTAATATCCATCATCTTACATAGTATAATAAAATGGATCATTTTTCTTGTGATGAGAACTCTGAGGATTTACTCTCCTATGTAATATTTTTTGTTGATGTTGTTGTTGATTTGAGGGGGCCAGAGAGAGAAACACATGAATTTGTTGTTCTACTTACTTATGCATTTATTGAATGATTTTTGTATGTGCCCTGACTGGGCATGGAACCCAAAACCTTGGCATATCGGGACAATGCTCTAACCAACTGAGCTACCCTGCCAGGACTGTAATGTTTTTAAATAGAAGAAAAATGCTTGGAAATTCTCAGAAGAATTCTGCTGAAGTGTATCACTGAAACTATAGTCATATGTACTAACTGTAAGATGCAGCAATATACTATTTATCAAATTTACTGGACAAAAATATGTATATGTCTAAATCATTAGTTTCTTTTAAAAATATGCCCTTCAGCCCTGGCCAGTTTGGCTCAGCAGTTGAGCGTCAGCCCTGGGACCAAGGGGTCTCGGGTTAGATTCCCTGTCAAGGGCACATACCTGGGTTGCAGGTTTGATTCCCAGACCTGGTTGGGGTCATGCAGGAGAGATCCGTGTGTCTCTCTCGCATCGATGTTTCTCTTTCTCTCTCTCCCTCCCTCCCTTCCACTTCATCTAAAAATCAATGGAAAAATCCTCAGGTGAGGATTAACAAATAAATAAAGTGTTGCAAGCCTTCAAGAAAAATAAAAATATGCCTTCCTCCTTTATCTTATTTTCAGACCCTCCACCTGTGCTACGGGTTGATGACCGGCAACGACTGGCCCGGGAGCGACGAGAGGAGAGGGAAAAGCAGCTGGGTAATTCTATCTATCCCTCACTTGGGGTTCAAGGAACACTGTTGTTGAAATGTTACTTTCCCCCTCTGGGATAATGGACACTTAACATTGAGCAAATGTGTATCAGTGTAGTAACCATGCTGTCTAGCATGCCTTTATGAGTTTTGCAAATGAATTGCAAAACAGAATTTAGTATATGATCAAAACACAGGACTAAGTTTTCGGCGACAATAAAGTCCAGCCCGGGATTAAGGTCATTTCCACTTCTTCTGTTGTAATCCCAGTTTAATGTGGCACCGGAGGGAATGTGAACATGAGAGGTGTGGCAGCTCAGCTTACACTTCACAACTTGGAAATACAAGGACTGTAGCATGTGGTTCTTTTTTATGTGAACAATTATGAGACTCGGTACTGCTAGGGCACCCGCTCTTGCCATGTTAGAATGGTGCTGCTGTCGAATTTATAGACAGATGCTGCCACTTTGCTGCCAGGAAAAGCACAGGACCTCGTGCTGAGGGGTCTGTTTTTTCTTTTGTTACCTGAGGCCCTTGTGAAAGATTAGCAACTACAACATTCGCCATATCATCTCCTAGAGAGCTGGGTCACAGGAGTAGCTCAGCGTCATTGTCTTCCAGAGCCTTGAGCGAGGGTGCTGGGCCCTCTCCTTCACTTTGCAGCTCCTCTATGCAAAGATGCTAAAGCAGGTACTCTTCATGCACGTTGAAAAGGTGAAATGCCTGGTCAGTATGTCTGTGTTTCTGGAGTGTCTAGGTATTTTAAGACTGGGGCTGATTTAGGTTGCCAGAATTTTTCCAGCGGATGACCCACACATTTTCTAAAGTTCTGCATTTTGTAAGAGTTCGTGTTTCATTTGGAGAACCCAGCGCCTGTATCCCATCTGTTTTTAAATTTTTAAAAATTAATCTTTATTGTTGAAAGCATTACAGATGTCTTTCCTTTTTTCCCCCAGTGACACCCCCTTCCCACTCCCCCTGTTCACTCCCTCTCCCCCGCCTTCCCCACATTATTGTCTGTGTCCATTGATTATGCATATATGCGTATAAGTTCTTTGTTTTATCTCTTCTCGCCCGCTGTACCCCTCTTCCCTCTGAAGGTTAGTAGTCTCTTCCCTACTTCCATGTCTCTGGATCTATTTTGTTCGTCAACTTATTTTGTTCATTATATTTCAAAAATAAGTGAGATCATATGATACTTGTCTTTCTCTGATTGGCTTATTTTGCTTAGCATATATTCTCCAGGTCCCTCCATGTCGTCTCAAAGGGTAAGAGATCTTTCTTTTTTTATAGCTGCATAGTATTCCATTGTGTAAATGTAGCACAGCTTTCTTATCCATTCATCTACTGATGGGCACTTGGGCTGTTTCCAGATCTTAGCTATTGTAAATAGCACTGCTACGAACATAGGAGTGCATATATACTTTCTGATTAGTGTTTCAGGCTTCTTAGGATATATTCCTAGAAATGAGGATCACTGGGTCAAATGGCAATTCCATTTCAAGAACCCAGATTTGTGAAATTTCCTGTAATGTGGTTTTCAAAAGTCTATTGGCATTATTTACATTATTTTAACACAGGCCTCTTTCTCTGCCTTGCCATAATGATCATATGAAGTAATTTCTTTTGCTGCCAAGGTTTTTCCGACACAAATTTTTATGACTTGCTGAAAGTGAACCAGCTCTCCTGTTTTCCTGTGCCTAGAATTTTCTCCCAGTCTTGAAGTTCCCTGTCCCTGGCAAGTTTCCTGCAGGTTGGTATGTTTCTGGAGAGTAAGGCTCTGTGGACTGTGCCCACTGCTCCCTCGTCAAGTTTGGTTTGACAACTGGACCAGAGCTGACAAAAAAGGAAAAGGCAGAGTTACTGAAGCAGAAGAGACTCCAGCTGAGCAAAAAACCCAACTGACTACTGCCCTGGGGTGCTTGATGTTTGCACTCTGGCTTTGGATTTATCCGAGCATTAGCACTCATGTCCATCTCCCCTTCCCACCCCGTCCTAGTCGGACCAGGTCCTGCACTATTAAATGTCTCCTTAAAACAGGTTCATGTCTGCTTGAGTGGGAGCGGCTCGCTCCATAGCAGCGGCCTACTGCTTATGATTTAAATTCCATTGTGAAGTAGCTTTTACACATTAACTCATACCTTTCCATTGGTTTCTTTGGCGTTCAAAGCCAAGCATTATTAATTCTTTTGTGGAAAACATGAATATGCTGGACAAACAAAAATATACTTCTTATACTATAAAGTTGTAAGACTCATAGCTTTGAAGCTGCAAATTCTCCTACAAGTTGCCTAGCTTTGTATGTTGAGTGGCTAGATTTTTTTTCTTAAGACATAGTCCCATATTTCAATTCATATCAGTGGTTTACAACATGACTCATTAATTTATATATTCAGAAATTTTATTTGCCAGGTATTGTGTTAAAAAGGTGAATGAAGGTGGAGACCCAGCCCTGCAGAGCTAGCTGCAGCCCCTTGAGGAAGCAGATGAACACAAAGCAATTATAATACAGGATGGTATTGAAGGGGTGTGCACAGGGGGTGTTGAGACCACAGGAGCACCTAACCGAACCTGGGGATGTCAGGTGCCACCTGAGCTTCCAATTAGAGGATGAAGATTCATCCAGGGAGACAGAAGAGGCAGGGACTGTGGAGCAGTGGATACATGGTCACGGCGGGAAGCAGGCATTTGGTAACAGACCCAACATGCTCCTCAGATTATTATATGGATCAAAGTAATTTTCAGATTACTGTATTATCCTAGTATCAGAATTTTACTTGTTTGATAAACCAGTATGTAATATACAGTGTTTCTCTTTATTCTTAACCCTGCCATGTTAAATATTACAGTTTTTCTTAATTCTGATCTAATCTCTTTTGTTGCTGTTGAGAATCATAATTTTAATGAAATACCTCAAATCTGTTTATTTATTTGCATTAATTGCATTGTATTTTTAAATTTTATAAGTGTCTTGTTGCTTATTCTTTCCCATTTAAGCCACCATAGTAGAAACCAAGTCTCGAGAGGTTCCCTAGAATCCTCATGAATATACAGATCAGCATTCCTGCAAATGCACATCCGTACATCTGTAGTCATCTAAAGTCTAACATCTAATTTAAGCTGTGCCTTGGAATATGTAAGGGTGCTTTCTGAAAAGTCTTTGATACTAAAAGAAAATCAAAGGACACACCTGATGAATTACCCATAAACTGTGCTTTGCAGAAACTATGTAGCAGTTGAATATTTTTTTAAAAGGGGGGTGGAGGACCATCTCTTAATAGCAGATTTTTGGACTGTGCTTTTTTGAAAACAAAAATTAGTTGGTATCATCAGTATTACAAAGCTTTCAAACTTAAAATTTTCCAAGTTAAAAAAAATAACTAAATAAGTACACTCCAAGGAAATTCCAACAAAGCAAAATGGAAAGTGATTGGCCATTGAGACTGATTATTCACTGTTGGATGTAGGTGGAAATTAACATTGAAAGATTCTTTTTAATCCAATTTTTAAAAAGCAAGATAGAGAGAATAAAGGTCGTTTTGTTTGGATTCTGTTTTCTTGTTGCTTTTTTGTTTTTGTTTTTCTGATGCCATGTCATGTTTGTACTGATTGCATCAGCCTGTTAATAACTTTCTGTAGGTTAACCTCTGAGTCATGCTTTAATGCTTTTATGGTAGGATTATGTCATGTGATCTGCTCTTTCTACATTATCTTTCCATTTATTGCATAAAATCAGGCATAATTTTTCATGTGTGGGATTATTCTGTTTGGTTGAGTATATAGACTCTGAAAGCATTATTTTTCTGCCTCAACAGCTTTATACATGAAGGAATCTCCTCAACCACTGTATTTCATCTGATTCTATTCAGGCCATTTCTTCAAACTTCTCTCTCTTGACTTCTGCATCTTTTTTGCCATCTCTCTTCTATACTTTAATTTTATTTTTTCCTAGGGGGTGGGAAAACCTTATTTGTTCTCATGGTTTCAACTCTCCTTTTCTGATGATAGGCATTTCATATTTCTAGCTACTCAAAAACAGTAGATATGTTCCCATTATCTGAAACTCAACTTCTATACCAGTAAATTGTTCATTAATGGTCATTCCATACCTTACTCCTCTGGGTCATTTCTGTGTCCCGATCAGTTGCTCCACTATTTTTTTTGGCCCCAGTAAACTATTCCTTTTAGCTATTTTTGATATTTCTGGTGCTGCTAAAGAAACTGGTATCTTTCTGACTACCAGTGTTAGCATTAGGTCTCTTGCAGAATAAAACATTCTCTCTCTCCCATGGTGGCTCAATGCTGTGCACTGACCGGTCTCTATCCCAGCCTATTGAGCCACTTGTAGCTACCAGTAGTCAGTCTGGACCTCAGCCTAGTCTGCTGGCTGGGGCTTCAGCCTCTCTAGCCCAGTGTGTGCGTGAAGTTGCTACACACTCTTTATCCTAAACCCATTTAGTCATAAGAGCAGCTGACCTCTGCCTTCAGCATAAATCTCACATCCAAGACTTTAAATTTGCTGCCTCTGCTATCATCCAAGTCCAGGCCTTAATGCATTTATATCTCAGTGATGTACTTCATTAGTGCAGCTGCCACAGTTAGTGCCAGTCTTTCTTTCGGAAGCCTTCTCAGACTTCATTATCTTTCTTCTTTTGGAAATTCTATCATATTCTCACTATATCTTATGTCTTGTGTAACTATCATATTTTAGCTTACATTGTAATGCCATTTTATACTCTACTGAACTTTTCCTAATTGGATTTATGCAACTCCCTAGTTTTGTATATTTTAAGCTTTTAAAGGGTATAACCCTTGTTTTCTAATTCTTTGTATACCAATACATGGCACAGTGCTATGTATAAACAGAGATGTAATAAATATTTACTGATTTTCCCCTAGTTTTTTTTTTTTATCCTCACCCGAGGACATTTTTCCATTTTTTGCTCAGGTAGAGTGGGAGGGAGAGAGAGGAACAGAGAGAGAGAGAGAAACATCGACGTGAAGGAA